AAATCTTCATTTTGCACTCCTCGGCATTTCTTGTTTTCCATTTATATGACAAAAAATCTAAATGAACATATTTTTAGAGCTATATGTACTCAGGCAAAAAAACGTATTTTGAATTGAACATTTTATATAAATGGGGAAAGGCTTTTATATATGTGGCCTGAATCATCCCAGCTTGCAAATACAGTTTGCTACTCTAGACAAGGCCTAATTTTACATTTTCATGATTTCTTTTAAAATTGAGGGCCATAAGAAAAAAAATACTTTTTTTTCATATTTCGTGTTTTATTGGTTAAGTCCTTTGATAGAGTTGCCATGGAAAAGAGGAAGAAAAGAGACATGTAAAGAGCTTCCCATGAAACTTTTCAAAGAACTCAGAGTGCAACAGGCTGACATTACATACGCTTATTCCGCAGGGTCTGTAGGCAGGCCTCTGCTCCGGCCACCGCGCTCAGAATCAGGTCCTGCTGGCACGGCCCGCGGGTGCTGAGGTCAGCCGCTCGGACAAGTCAAGCCGGCTTGGCTGTATTTCAGCCTTTATAAGACTTCCAAAAATAAGCAGCTGACCTGTCAAGATGAGAGGTCATGAGCCTCTTCCAAACACATTTCTGCTGAGTTGATTGGGGGTGAAGGGCTGCTCAGGTCCCAGCAGCTGTGCCAGGCTCGGGCAGAGATCAGGGCTCATGGGTGGGTAGTGCTCCCAGAGAACATGGCCTCTTGTGGGCAGTGCCAGGCCATTCCCCAGATAGACGCAGACCCAAACTGACTCTGGGTGTTCGCACTGCACCCACAGGGGACATCGGCAGCACCCTACGGTCCCTAAGAACTATGTCCATGAAGGTCAAGCCTGTCTGGGACTCAGGCATTTGCTGTCGTATCCATAGCGGGGTTGATGCACTGTGGGCTCCCCACACGTGGAAAATGCCTTCAATGTGCACGCTCACAACTAGAGGGCATCCCTAGCAAAACAGAGAGGCACGTTTTAAATGTCTGTCTTAAACAAACTATTTATCAAGCCCTCATCTTTGTTTTCCAAAGAGGGGGGTTATAGAACATAGAGGAGGCACTTTGAAGACTTTCTTGTGAATAATTAAATGACAGTCCTAGTTCAGTCCGTAGTTTACCAATTTCTACTTTCTTAGCCTGTTTTGTGCTGTGGTTTTGTAAGTGGGAGGAAGCCACACAGTGGTGGGTGACCTGCTCAAGGACAGACCAGAGGCAGACAGGAGATGCACGTTTGTGGTGTGTGCCACTGCAAAAGCCGGTGATTTTCATGGCTGCATATTTTAAGGTATGGACATTAAAGGTCTTTTTTGCTGTTAGTGGTGATATCTTCTATCAGAATCTGTTTTATATCTTGAATCTGCAGAAGCAACAGAAACCTAGGTTTTCCCTACTTGAGAAGGGCTCGTTCCAGGAAGTCAGAAATCCCAAAAGTTTGTGAGCGGTCCTGATTTTTTTTTTTTTTAGATTCTTCCTGGATTCGGTGATATGTAAACACTTTTTAAAACGTTTCATGATTTTTCCATCGCCATTCTTAGGTGCCTATACCAGACCGATTTTTCCAGCCAGATAATACCATGTAGTCTGCAAAATTGTTTTCTCTGGACATTACTTAAGCCCCAAGGTAAATACAAGACCGTAGATCTGGCACAGGCATCACGGACGTTTTGTCTTGAATGTATCCTTGTCGAGTAGAGACTCTGGGACTATTTTATTCACCACTGGCTTTGCCAGACTATCGTTACCATCAGCACCTTGCAGTGGGAGAGGAGACATATACGCTGAAGTGTTTTATTTGACACAACGTCACATCCCTCGCCACAGGAGCTTAAAATAGACCTGGTGCCTTTGCCGGCCTCCAGGAAAGACGCTGTCGAGTTGTGGTGTCTTCCCTGGGGCTGCCGCCCTTCAGTGCTGGGAACCTGGGAGGCCTTACAGGGAGTTTCCATGGAAACCCAGTCCCTCTCTTCCGCCATTTCAAACCCCACGCTGTGTGGCACGTGCTGCTTCCTGATTCTGTCCACGGGGGATTTCAGTGATCCCCTCGGGCCTCCCTGCGTGGGGAAGATGCCCTGTTCCGTGACAGATGCCGATCACGGTTTTGTGCCTGGACCTGATGCCTCCCCATTACCCGGGGCTCCACCTGAGAAGCAAAGACCCCTTTTGTCAGGGGAAGCACAACTTCCACGTTCACTGACTTGAGAAAATTGTAGTTTTGAATGTGGAGGTTCTTAAAGCTAGGAAATTTGTATGCAAATGTGAGAGTTTAAAAAAGCCTTAAGTCTCAAGCAGTAACATAAAAAGAATCCCTACAGCTGACAGAAGAAAGAATAGCTGAGAAACCACCCTGGGCTGCCTTAGGTGATCCCAGAGCACCACCTACAGACGAGGAAGCCGGATTACCACCCCTCGGAAACCGGGAGCCAGCTATGTGGGGGTCTGACGGTGGAAGGCAGTGGGTGCCCTCCAGACACCCAAGCCCCAGTGGGGGCGCTGGGAGCCCAGAGGCTGAGCATGTTCCGCATAAGCCGGGTGGGGTCGGCCCAGAGCAGGCCCTCTGCGGCCTCCCCCGACTTGATCCTCTTCACAGACCGGCAGCGGGCAGCACCCAGGGGGCAAGTATGAACCTTGGCAGGTTTAAGGATTTCCCCACATCCATGCAGCCAGCAAGTGGCAGGCCTGGGATTCAACCCCACTCGCCAGACTTGAAACCCTGAATATAAAAACAGACCTCTTAAGAAAGCAAAGCCTCCTGGGGATGCTTTTTCTTTTTCTTTCCCAACACAATAAAAGCTCTGAAAATGAGCCAAATCAGTATCCTGTTTGTTCATTTTCATGGTGATAAAGGACATTTTAAATACCTCTTTTTTAATCAGACCATGCATCTGTAAATGGCTTAAACACACAATAACTACTCCAAAAATCTTTATCTTTTTTTATACTTAGTAAAACCTGATTTTCATTTGCATTTTGGGGGAACAATGCCTCACTTTAAATTTGAACAGAGTATGTCAGCCTTCTCCTGCCCCCACCAAAAAAAGGCATATGAAAAAATTTCTGTTCACATTAAAATGAATTGACTTTAAATAAATTTGCACTAAGTGCTTAAATTAGGAAGACTTTAAGAATTTCTTTTTCCTTTTGAGCAATAAAGCAAAGCTAAGTGTGTATTATTGGCTGGTAGGAAACATTTCTGTTTCTTGATACATTTTCTAAACAGAAACGTGCATGAAGATCAGCTGCTCTTGGAATGATTTTTATAGCTTTCAAATTTTCCTCCCTCTGTGAGTATTGCAGGCTTGGGGTCTACCCACATGAGGTGCCATTTGGGGTATCAGCGAGCGAAGTTCCATCATCAAAGTGATTATTTAGAAAATAATTACTGAGCAACTGACAGAATAGCTTTGTGATTAAAATGGAAATGCATATAAACAGCTGTGACTTCCACCAAAATCAGGTCGACAACCTGATCTGGGGTCGTTCTTGACACGTGCATCCTGCTTAAAACGCCTCATTGTTCTGCCCGCAGCTCGCATCCTGAAGGGCTGACCCCTCTTCCACACACTGGCCGCCTCTTCACTCCTTCACACGGGGTCTCACCTTTAATGGGACCCAGCAAGTATCAATTTCTGTACCCTGAGATCTAGAATTAGGTGCCCTTCCTTAGGACTCAACGAGAATTAGACAATTTCTAGATACCAAACCTCTTTCACACATCCAAGTGTCAATCTATGTCATCCCTACACAAGAATAGTGCAGCTTCTTGCCCGTGCTCTGCCTCTGGGCACCCGCCTCTGACCCTGAGGAGGTCTATCCGTCAGCCAGGCCTTTGCTGGCCTGGTCTCAACACCCAATATCCAGGGTGACCTTCTGAATGGAAAGTGAGTGGACATCTCTCAGAAGCAGCATCCACTTACCAAGTACTTGGGATTTGGGATTGTCCTTGCCAGGAGTCCAGTCCCTGCGCTCACTGAGCAGGGATGGGGGCACCAGCTGTGCTGAGCATGTCACACAAGGTGTAGGGTATTATAGCTGTGAAGTCACTTTATCCTCATTGCTTTTCAAGAGTTACAAATTTAGTGGAAAGGAAGAATTTATTCTTAAATTCTTGTCCTTAAATCTTACATTCCTAGTGGGCACAATACAGCAGAAATAGCTCACAGTGAACACATCTATGGGTGTTACCTGGTCACTCTTGAGATGGTACATGTAAGAAGTGACACGGAGGCCACTGTCATAAAACTAGGCACCATCCCTCCCATCAGCACGAGGGCACTGCGGGCCAGGGTTGGCTCAGCAGAGGGTGAGAGGTCCTGTAAACTAAGTATCTCAGCTGTCGGCCTGGCTGAGGGAGAGATGTCCATGCTCTCCTCAAGTCTGAGGTACATCAAACCTCCCAAGGGCCCGGTGGCGGTCTGAAGGCTTATTGACCTGATTCCCAGCGCCAAGGGACAGGTGCAGCCCACACTGGAATCGAGGGCTGACCAGCTGGCCGGGCTGTGAAGAAGGAGCCCCTTGTAACGCTGGTGTTTGCAATTCAGATGAGGACCGGCCCCTTCGGCCTCCGTGGGCATCCTCCCGAGCACCGGCCTTACTGCATGTGTGGCCTGGTATGGCGACAGACCCTGCTGCAACTGAGCTGCACGCAACTCCAGGCAGTGAAAAGGGTCAGGACAGGCGGGCCTGGGAGGCAGAGGGACTCAGAGTAAATCGCCTCGGGACCGAGGGTGCACAGAGATTTCTGAATCCTGGGAAGTTCCTGAAATTCATGATCCTTCTGAAAGTTCATTGTACCAGGAGGGAGGTGGGTCATCAGGTCTGCACCTGGTGGAGGTAACAGCGCACCTCCACGCGGGGCAGGGAGCTTGCAGGCCGATTCCAGGGCTTCTATGCAGGGAGGTTAGCATTACAGAGAGTGTTCTGGGTAAATAAGAAAGCTTATTATCCACAGAATTTTCTTTATTTCAAGTAAATTGTACCATTTGTATTTTTAATTGCAGATGTCCCACCCCTGGCTGTGATGGCTCTGGGCACATTACTGGCAACTACGCTTCTCATCGAAGGTAAGTAGAGGGCTTGTTCTCCAAATCCACTGCCTCGCGCCCCATCTGCCTGGGGGATGGCCAGCACAGGCTCCGCGCAGACCCCGTGCACAGATTCAGGCTTTACAGACCCAGAGCCCAGTGCCACGCGTTCCTCAACAGGCCCATCCTCAGAAGGCAAATTCTCATTTGAGAACCACAGCTCCTCCCCTAGCTCACCTGTCCTGCAAGTGGCTCCTTCTGCAAGAAGCATTTCTAAAGTCGACCAAGACACGTCTCCCTAACCTGCAGGGTGTAGGAGGAAGGGACCCCTGGGACACTGTAAGGTCGCTGTGCACAGTCGTGAAGGGGCAGCCCTCGGACACCACTGAGGACTGACCTCCTAAGCATGGAGGTGTGAGCCGTTGTCAGGTGCCCAGTTAGTGTGAGCAGAAATCAGCAGAGCTGAGCACACAGAAATGCCCGCAAGTGACAGCAAACGTGAGTGCCATGCACAGGGGTCACAGCAGGTCAGAGGCAGGGTGCCCTGCTGTGCCAGTCCGCTGTTGCCTACACAGAAGCTGCAGTGGGGCTGAGCGCGTGCCCAGGTAGAGGTGCAGTGGCTGCTCATAACCTTGTGTAAACCAACCACGGACGAAAGTCAGGACCCGGCTGGTGAAGCAGGCTTGCCCAGGCCTGTCCATTCGTGATGGCCATAAGTGCAGAGGGAGGCTCCTCTCCGCGGATCATTTTGTTTGTGCAAACTTCACCCGGACCACGGGTGAGCCGTCCTCTCACTCGTGCCACCTTCTCCTTGGCCATGTGAGTTCAGAGCGGCCTGGGCCGACCTGCGGACAAAGCCACAGGCCCCTCGTGTGGTCCAGCCCTGGGCCGTCCTGAGCAGCTGTGACAGCCCGAGTTACCTCTCCCTCCTTCTCGGGCCAGGTGCTCACAGTCAGATTGTGTCTCAGTCACAGGACGCCCAGCATCTCGGCTCTCTGCACAAGCTCGCCTGTCGGTTCCCCCTCTGTCTGGGAGCCGTCCACGCACCCCACACTGAGCCATTTCCTCGCTCAGGAAGGCAAGGATTCTAAAGTGTTGACATGCTTCCAAAATTTAGGGTATTTCCTCTAAAGGTGCAGATACGGAGTGAGCCTCTGCCTCGGTGCCAGTGAACTGTGGGAAGCACAGTCCTGTCTAGGAAAGTTCCCCACCTGGAACAGGAGCGCCCTGTCAGCCCAGAATCCAGGACGAGGGCCACCCAACAGCCTTTGGAGTGGCGGCTACATCCAGGAGCCCCAGACCGGCATGGCGAGGGGCTGGGACAGGCAGAGCCTGGCGAGGAGAGGCCTGCGGGCGGGAGGAGGCATGGCAGGGGGCAGCTCAGGCCACCTACAGGCAGGAAGGGCCTCCCAGTGGGACACTGGTGAGTGGACAGGCCATCGCTGAGGAGAAGCCCAGCAGACAGCACGCAGCTGAATTCTGCTCAGATGCCTCAGCTGTGAATCTTGCATTGTGAGCAGGTCTGTGGGGGCAGGTGGGCAGCCGGTGGAGAGAGTGCACGGGGCACCAGGACCTGTGCCATTTGACCCCATGGACAGATCAGTGCAAGGGGAGGAGAGCCACACTTCTCAGAAATGAAGGCGGCCCCACATCTGGAGAAAGCACCCTCCCCAGGAGTCTGAGCAGGTGCCCTGAGCGCAGTGCACAAGGCAGGCACTGCCCCCTGGCTTTGGGCTCAGGTTTCTAGGATGCCGCCCGGATCCGAGGACACAGGCCGAGTGATCGTGTTGGGTTCACACCTGGGCCCTGAGAAGACGATCATGAATACAGACCCAGGCAGTGGGAGAGATGGCTGACCGGGGCAGGGCCAGACGACCGTGCGCCATGCCAAGGGGCATGGACCTGTCCGGGGTAAGTAAAGAGGCTTTGGAAGAACTCCGAAGAGTCCGTCAACTGGCTCACAGTGAATGCTCGGCCATCCTAATTCAGTGTCTCCAAGTAGAAGGTGGCTGGACTCAGAAGATACTTGGGACATAAGGCCAACAGGACCTGCGGAAAACAAGGCAGAGGGAGCCACCAGGGATGCAGCTGGGGCCTGGCTTAGGCGGACGAGCAGACGTCAGTGTCATTCCCTGAAGGAGCAAATGAGAAGTGGAGGGGGCGTGAGTCGGTACAGATGGGAGTGTGATCTTTAATGGAGGGAGAGGCACCATCCGAGCAGCCATGCGCGCCGGCCAGCAGGATGCACGGCTTGCGCTTTATTCTGGATGCAGAGGGACACCTGGGAGTCAGCACCATGTGATCCAGGATTCAGGGGTGGATGAACTTCTACAGCCAGGAGAGGAAGGGAAGAAAGCGCCTGGCAGAGGTGCCAGGGAACAACAGACACATAAGTGTGGCCAAGCCAAGGGGCACGGAATTTCTAGGACACAGGAAATGGGGACCCGAGACGAAAATCGGACCCTCAGAGGAACTGCTCGTGTGCACTGGGGTCACACGGCGCAGGGCCAAGGGCATCTCCTGGCTTCCAGTCACAACAGCCCCGGAGAGAGCAGGTCCCACAAGAGAGGCTTCAGGAGCCAGGCCACACAGGGGCAGCGGGCTGAGGGGGCAGAGGAGGGACCCGTGCAGACCCTGATTTCCCAACAGTCACTGTAAGAGGAGAGAAGTGCAGGCGGCTAGGGGAGCAGCTTCAGGCACGCCATCTTTCCCATTTTCCTGTAAAGGGAGACAAGCCTCCTAAAGAGCCCCCAGCCCCAGACCCCGGTCCCAGGGGGGCCTCCATTGGCAGTCAGGGCCCACCGGGGAACCAGCATGCCCGGAAGGACCAGGGCTGACGGGGACAGCACTCTGCCGCCCCAGACAGGAAGGAGAGCGGGCGCTTTCCACCCAGTGCACTGCCTGGATGCCGGGCCCCCGCCCACTGCCGCCATGCCCCAGGACATCTCGGCTAATGCTCTGGTTTTTTTGTGAAGACTCTCACGTGTTCAATATGTTCTCGTGTCCATCCCTCATATACAGCAGCCTATTGTTGGCCTGCACATACCAATATATATCAGTGTTTTTCTGTTCCACCTGGAAAATGTCCTTCACATGCACGTGAAATTCTACCTCTGAGCATTTGACAATCTCATGAAATAAACATGTCCAGCATCCACCACACCTTCTGCGGACACTTCAGGGAGATCAGAGCAGACCGCCGGCGTGCCCCTCCCCTGGGGGGGCAGAGGTTGCGTGTCTGTGTAGGAGAGTGGGTCTCCAGGAAACAGAGCCACGGGCGTGGGTTTTCTCTGCCAACATGGCCCTTTGCTGTGCACGTGTCCATCCTCTCCCTCCCTCAAGACATTCCCAGCTTCGCTTCTCCCGACTCCTGGCTGCTTCCGTCTCTGCAGGTGGCCTGCTTTCCCGCCCTTCATAGTGTCCTGTCCGGCCCCGTGAGCCTCTGCAACGGGTCTGACAGCATCTAAAGGCTTTGGGAGCTGGGGGGCTGTGCCGGGAGAACCCCCTGCCTGGATTCTGTTTCATTCGGGCCGAGAAGCGCCGTCACCAGTGCAGGAAGCCCGCCAGGACTGGCAGGCTGGGGTGCTCTCTGAAACCGTGTTGCTTCTCCAGCCTTTCAGGTTGCCCGAGGGCCAAGAAGAGCGGCATCCGGATAGCGCAGAGCAAGGAAGACAAAGAGGACCAGGAGCCCATCAGGTGCGCGCCTGGCGGGCGGGGGTGGGAGCCGCCGTGGGGCGGCCGGGGCCCCGGCTTCCGGGCTGCTGGCAGCATCGCCAGCAACCAGCCGGGTCTTCCTGGGCCGCCTCTGAGATGTCAGGCAACTGGAAGGTCAGACCTTTAAACCCAAAACTAAAACTCACCGGCCGATTGGCTGGAAGCACCCTACAAATGGCAGACGATATGGTGAGTGAATGTCCATCCGTCTGGTGCCCCCAAAACACCAGCACCCCCCGCCCCCCGGTGGAGATCACGAGGGCATGCTTTGCTGACATTCTGGCTGAAGAAAGCCATTCAGCCATCCCGGCCTCACTCCGAGGTGCCCCCTGGGCTCAGAACACGTGCGGCGAGGTCAGCCCTCCTGTGCACCACGCATCTGCCCCAAACCCGAGCCCACCAAGTCCTGGTCTCAAAAATCCGTAAGACGAGCCTGGACCTCTCTCCCTGGAATTTTAATCTCAATGTCTTTGTAGAAAATTTTTTATTAAAACAAAAGAAAAGCTAATAAAGAAAATATTAAAGTAAGTTATAACATATCAAATAGATAATACAAGTTCTGAAGAATGCAGTTTGCTGTTCAAAAGCCCAGCAGCATGGGGCTAGTGGGTGCACTTGCACCCCGTCATGCCCTCAGCCCTTTGCCGTCACCTGCGGTGGGGAAGCTTCCGGAACACCCATCAGCCTGCTGCTGAGGGTCAGCTCCGGCCAACGAGCCTCCCGTTTATCCCCCGACGGTGTGTGGGCCGTGAGCTCCGCCAGCACTGTTCCGGGGCCTCGGCTGACAGTGTCTCTGCAGCTGAGACCCTCCTGGCTGGAGGACAGAGAACAGCCAAGCAGTGTTCTCTAGCGCTTGAGAAAAACACGGGTTTACAAAGTAGCCTTTTTAATCATAACCCTGCATTCTACCCCATAAGAGCTGGGGTTCTGCCCAAACATGGACGCCCGCTCAGACCGACCACAGCACACCGAGCCTTCTCATGCGTCCCGTCGTTGCCCCGGAGGCTGGACCCCTCGGCAAGCACTTCCCTGGGGGGCCCGTTCCAGGGCTCTGCTAGGTGGCGTCTTCCACGGGCGCCTCCCTTCCTGCTGCAGGAGCACATGGCTGCTTCCTCCACGTCAGGTGTTAAGAATCTGTTTAAGGCCGCCAGGCCCATGCTGGCCAGGTGGCACAGTGTGTCCCTCTTTCTGCCCCCCAGGTGCCCAGTCCCCGGGTGTGACGGCCAGGGCCACATAACCGGGAAGTACGCCTCGCACCGCAGTGCGTCCGGCTGCCCGTTGGCAGCCAAGCGGCAGAAGGAGGGGTACCTCAATGGCTCCCAGTTCTCCTGGAAGTCAGTCAAGACGGAGGGCATGTCGTGCCCCACACCAGGATGCGACGGGTCGGGCCACGTCAGCGGCAGCTTCCTCACGCACCGCAGGTGAGTGGTGTGGTCTGGGCCCCCCG